TGTAGTGGATGCTGGACAAGTTGGCAGGGCATATGCTATTAGCATTCTGGGAAAGTCTATGGCTGACGAATTTACCCTTGTTGATGATTTAGAAGACAAAGGAGAAATGATGGATCTGCAACATGGGAGCTTATTTCTTCAGACATCAAAAATTGTAGCCGACAATTTTCAGATTGTGGTGGTAACTGCAGGAGTTCATCAGCACGAGTGGGAGAGTCTACTCAATCTGGTGCAGTGGAACGTCAATGTCTTCAAATTCATTGTTCCTCAGATCATCAAGTACAGTCCTGAATGTGTTATAATTGTAGTTTCCAACCCAGTGGATATTCTTATGTATGTTACCTGGAAACTAAGTGGATTGCCCAAGCACCGTATAATTGGGAGTGGGTGTAACCTGGATTCCGCTTGATTTCAATACTTTATGGCAGAAAAACTTGGCCTTCATCCCAGCAGCTGCCATGGATGGATTTTGGGAGAACATGGCAACACAACTGTGGCAGTGTGGAGTGGCATGAATGTCGCAGGAGTTTCTCTCCAGGAACTGAATGCAGAGATGGGGACTGACAATAGTGAAAATTGAAAGTACATAAAATGGTGGTTGAAAGTGCCTATGAAGTCATCAAGTTAAAGCATACACCAACTGGGCTACTGGATTAACTGTGGATGATCTGATTGAATCCATGTTGAAAAATCTATCCAGGATTCATCCAGTTTCAACAATGGTGAAAGAGATGTATGGCATTGAGAATGAAGTCTTCCTGAGCCTTCCACGTATTCTGAATAACAGCATCATTTACCAGAAACTAAAAGATGATGAGGCCGCTCAACTCAAGAAGTGTCAAAACGCTCTGTGGGACGTCCAGAAAGACCTTAAAGACCTGTGACGTTCAAGTCCTAAGCTGTCGAAGTTTAAAAACTATGTGATTAATATGATTAATCTATGATTAATATGTGATTAATAGTTATCATTCATGTACATGGATCAGAGTTTGCTTTACTCTTCTTAAATATGTGAGTCTGGGCCCACAAGATTAAAGTTCATGCCTGGCTTAATGTTTGCAATATGAGCCCTTAGAAAAAGAAAATTAGGCAAGCTCTCGTGGCCTAGTGGCAAGAATCTGTACTACAATCCCAGAGGTGTGTGGTTCAAATCCACCAGATTCTCTGCTGGAGGAGGGACAATCTAACTCCTTTATCAGTCAGATCTGATTTGATAGTACACACACACACACACACACACACACACACACACAAATTTTAAAAAAAGAAAATTAATATTATAATGTGAAAATAAAAACCCAACAAAGACTCTCACCACTGGGCCTATTGGCAGCATCATGATGAACACTTAAGTGATTGAGATTGTTAACAGCTTTAGTTTGCTTGGCACCACAGTCAAAGCTTTTGGTACCAGCAGCCAGGAAATAAAAAGACAACTTGCATGTGGAAAGTCTGCTGTAGGGACATCTCCAGTGTACTGAAGAGCAATGATGTCAGTCTGGAGATTAAGGCATGTCTGGTTCGGGCCATAGTCTTTGTAATTACATGTTATGCATCATAAAGCTGGACAAGGACAAGGGATGATAGAAGGAGAATCAATGCCTTTGTACTGTGGTGCGGGAGAAGAGTATCGAACATACCATGGACTGCTAGGAGAACAAACAGGCTCATCCTGGAGAGGGATTAACCAGGCTGCTTCTTCTTGGAGGCAAGGATTCTGAAGCTTCGTCTGACCTACTTTGGGCATTTTGCAAGGAAGGAAAAGTCCTTGGAGAGGGACATTATGCTTGGGAGGTTGGAGGGACAGCGCAGGAGAGGAAGACCTTCTATGAGGGATTGATTCAGTGATAAGGGGTAATGGGAGAGGGTGTTTTGGAAACAGTAAGGTTGGCTCAGGATAGAGCAAGGTTCAGAGATGTTGTACATAGGGTTGCTATGAGTTGCAGGTGACTTGATGGACACAACAACAACAACAACATACTTGGACCAGGAGGAAGTCATCAGAACAGAGCAAGGAAACACTCCATGGTTCAAAATTAGGAAAGGAGTGCGTCAGGAAGAAGAGGTCCTGTATCCATACCTTTTCGATCTATATGTGGTACAGATCATTTGGAAGGCTAGACTTTATGAGGAGGAATGTGGCATTAGGATTGGAAGACTCATCAACAACCTATGTTACACAGGTAACATAATCTTGCTTGCTGAAACTGAGGAGGACCTGAAGTATTTCCTGCAGAAGGTCAAAACTATAGTCTTCAATATGAATTGAAGCTCAACATCAAGAAGACTAATATTCTCACCATTGGGTCAAATGGCAGCATCATGATAGAGAAGAGATTGTGGTTGTGGATCAGCTTGCTCAGATCCATATCAACACTTTGGCACCAGCAGTCAAGAAATCAAAAGATTAATTACATTAGGGAAATCTGCTGTCAGGAACTTCTCCAAAGTGGTAAAGAACAATGATATCAGTCTAGAGACTAAGGAGCACCTCATTCAAGATCTTTGGTCTTTGCAATGACATGCTATCCATCAGAGAGCTGGTCAACGATGAAAGATGATGGAAGAATGAGTTGTGGTGCAGGAGAAGAGTGTTGAACTTAACCATAAACAGGTTAAGGAGAGGTTGAAACCACGCTGCTCCTTGGAAGCAAGAGTTTTAAAGTTCCATCTCAAATGGCAAGGAGGGACCAGTCCTTGGAGAAGGACATCATGCTTGGAAGGGTGGAGGGACAGCACAGGAGAGGAAGATGGATTGATACAGTAACTGGGGTAGTGGGAATAGATCTCTGGGAGAGTGAGATTGGTTTAGGATAGGGCAGGGTTCAGAACTATTGTACATATGGTTGTTATGAGTTGCAGGCAACTTGATAGCACATAAGAACAGTAACAATATATTGGAAAAATGCTTGTCATTCCTCTGTAGCATCTGGTCCCCACTGGACCCTCATTATTTCCTTCACCTGCTCCCCCCACTGACCAAACTGTGCAGCTCTGCAACTGTATCCTGGCCCATCCTCACCCTTCTGCCCCCAACCCTCACCTCCTTGTACTCCCAATATGTTTTTCCCAATAAAAAAAAAATTAAAAAAAAGAACAGTAACAATAATATAAGTAATGAGGTCACATCCCACCCTAACATCCTATAATTGATTGACTAAAGAATTGACATCTTTGAGCTGTGGTATTGGAGAAAAGCACTGAACATCCCATGGTTGGCCAAGAGAACAAACAGCTATGTCTTGGAGAGGGTGCAGCCAGAGTTCTCTTTGGAGGCAAGAATGATGAGACTTCGCCTCACATACTTTGGGCACATTTGCTAGGAGGGGCTATTCCTTGGAGAAGGACATGATGCTAGGAAGGGTGGAGGGTTGGCAAAGGAGAAGACCCTCAGGTGAATTAATATTGTTACTGCTGCAATGGGTTCTTGTATGTCAGGAAGTGTTAGGATAGTACAGGATAAAATAGCGTTCAGATCTTTTGTTCATAGAGTCTCTATGAATTGTATTCAATAGCACCTAACAACAAGAACAACTACCAGATTATATGATGGGAGGATTACATCATAACAACCTAAGTATATCATCATTTAACTTCTGAACCACTGGGAATCATAGACAAGTGACCCTGACACAGGTTTGGTGGTGGTGGAGGGACAGAATTCAATCCATGACAGCATTATAGCCATATGGTCAATTTCCCCCACTTAGTTCTGCCATAATATTATTCCTATCAAATTCTTGGGAGCATGTTCACATTGCACAGCAATTTCTCCTCTGTCCTCCTGTATACCGCGCATGTATTTCCCTTTAATTTCCTTCTGAGAAGCTTTACTAACAATATGCTGTTGTTGTGTATCTTGAGTCAGAACCGACCCATAGCTGACCCTCCAGCGGGTTTGCAGAGACAGTAAATCACACTGGAGGAGACTGTCCATCCTTCTCCCTCGGAGCAGCTGGTGGATTTGAACTCCATGGCTTTGAGATTGCAGGGCCGTTTCTTACCTCTAATATAAAAGTAAATACAACAGATGGTTGTAAGTACATCCTTCTTAAGTGTGGGACTACCTGCATTATTTTATTGAATCTGCCTCCTTCCAACCACAACGAATAAATAGTGACTCCAAAGAGAAACTATAAGGAGTTGCGCTGCCGGTTTAATTTACAGCTGTAAGTCAGTTTCGACTCCACCGTCAATGGGCTGAGTTTTGTTTATTCATAAGAGAAAAAGACACATATACACACCCCCTTCTCCAGGACACGGGGACACACACACACACACACACACACACACACTCCCATCCCTTTCCAGGCAACACGCGCGCGCGCGCGCGCACACACACACACACACACACACACACACACAAGTCACACACACAACACCCTCTCTCCAGGCTACCCCCAAACACCCACGCCCCACTGCCCCGACCACCCAGTCTCTCGTGAGAGCAGGGCATATTACAAAGAACTGCCATAGAGAAGGCATATACATCCTATTAAAAGGAGAGTACTTCATGTGTTGTAGGAGTCCAGACCTTTGCTACATCTCCTTTAAGAGTCTCCAACTGAGAACTCTTTTATCTCCAGAGATAAATGGAGTATCCTGCTAGTTTAGAAAAAGAAGACTTTCGGCATACTATGTGATTGCTGTGTTCTAGACACACGTGTGGGGAGGTCCATATTTCCTATAAGCTCCAAGGCTCCTCACTGAAGAATACTCAAAGCACCAACCTCTGCCAGGTCAGGTCCCCCGCTTCCCAGGAGCCGTCGCTTTAAACTCCGAGCACCGCCCCATGTCTGCGCATGCGCAATGTCTGCTGGGCGGTGCGCACTAGGAGTTCGGAGTTTCCTGGGACGAGGCTGGCCACACTGCCTTTCTGCAAGGCCCCAGCGACCCCGTGCGAGGATTGAGCTGCAGTGCGGCTGGTTGGGCGCTTGCGACTCTTGTTCCTGCTCCAGCGGGGTCTCTGTCGCAGCCGATCGGCCCCCTGGATGCCCCTCATGGCGGGGGAGCGGGTGGAGGTGGACGGCGGGATCATGGAAGGGGTGAGTGCGGACCTCCAAGCCGTGCATGCTGTTACTTCAGTTCAGACTGGAGAGGAGCGCTTTGCCATCTGATGTCATTACTTCTGCATTCTACCCTCTGCAGGGCGGCCAGATCCTGCGGGTGTCTACGGCCCTGAGCTGCCTTTTGGGCCTGCCCTTGCGCGTGCAGAAGATCCGAGCAGGCCGCAGCACCCCTGGCTTGAGGTAAACTGGGAGGCTGGTTTTCGGGGCTGGAGCTTTGGTGATTCAGCCTGGGTCCTGGTATGTGTCACCTTGGGCAGTTAGTGGTGGCCCGGGCGGTGCTACGTTTTAAGCATCCAGGAGTAAGTGAAATAAGGCTTAGTTTTACCCACCTGACTCAGGTTGTCTTATTTCTTCAAGAATGACCTTTTAATGCTCCCACACCTCATCAGCGTTTGCATATGGGGAGAGCAAGAATCACCAGGAAGACACAGCAGGACAGAATTAGCAATAAGGCCAGAGGAAAATGCATTTTATAACTACTGCATCCTCTGCTGTCGTTCATTTTTGAATCGTTTTGTGAGAAAAGACCTTAAAATGTGCCCATTTCCTTTCAGACCTCCAGTTAGAATAAGGGCAGAATTCTCTTTTGTGAAAAGGGAAACACTTTGACATTTTCCCTTCCATTTGTTTGCCTTGGAAGCTGAGCGAACTACTAAATAAACTTTAGGAGTATGCATCAATTAGAAAGGGTTGAAGCTAGTCAAGATACCTTATTTCATCTATTCATTGTATTTTAGTAGGTCACCTACCATGCTGAACCTTGTGCCATTGGGATATCAGATACCAAAATGGTTTCCCAATGTGGACAGTGTTTGATGGAGCTCCCAGTTGTAAAACAGATTTGGAAGCAGGAGGGTATCCATTTTCTAAACCACATACCTACAGGAAATCTATGAACTTGGAGAAACGACTATAGTTATGGAAAGGCATTAAGTCTTCTGTTCATAGAGTCACTATGAGTCGACTCAATGGCAATCAATAACAACAACAACAACCACCACCATCTTTATTCTTTAATCCACAAAAGGCCCTTATTGACACGTGTAAATATTAACAATGTTCCATACCAGTCTAAGAGTGTAATTCATCAATGCTGTTTTAGATAGAATAGATTTTTTAATACTATTCAAATGAGATTGGAGACTTTTTAATGGTAATTTTACTGGTTTTCTTTACTTCTAACTTGTAACTCCATCAGGATATGTGTTTGTAGCCAAAATAACTGGTCTGAAAGGAATCCTTAAAAATGATATATTAGGTGAGTTCTGGTGGTAGCTTAGTGGCAAGAAGCTGCACTGGAATCCTAGAGGTGACCAGTTTGAATCCACCAGATGCTCTGCTGGAGAAGGAGGGACAACCTCCTCTAGGACCAGTCAGATCCAATTTGATGGTACACACAAAAAATAATACAAATTTTAAAAAGAATTTAATTAAAAAATGATATCTTAGCAGGTAGTCACAGTGCAAAAATGAAACTCTAAAACAACCTGTGAGAGCCGCAATTCAAATGGGTGTATGCATACCCATGTTTATTGCTGTGTTATTCACAATAGCAAAGAGATGGAAGGAACCCAAGTACTCATTAACAAACTAATGGATAGAAGAACTCTGGTACATTCACACAATGGAATATTACGCAGCATTATAAAAAATGTCTAACATTACACAACATGAGTGAGCCTGGAAGACATTATGCTGAATGAAATAGTCACATAAGAATAAATACCATTTAACACTGCTGTTATAAAAGAAGACTGATGTAGGGGGCTGGAGGGTGAATAGGGAAGGAGTAAAGAGATCATAAACATTGCATTTGAATAGGGAAGGGAAGGAACTGTCTAAAAGGAATGTATGATTAGACATTGTATGTATGACAAAAATCTGGAACAAGAGGTGCATTGCAGAGTAGACTAGGAGCGGGGGGAAGGGAAAGGGAGGAATATATGCAACAATGAATGAATAAAACCCCAAACTTTCTTTGAAATCACCATTTTTAAAAAAGGTATACCCCCCAAAAAAACCCCAAAATAGAAGTTGTGGCACTTAGTTTGATAGACATTGCTATTTTCTTGCCATTGGAGTTTGATAAATATGTAATAGAGTGTGGGAGTGTGGGCTGTCTTAATGTACACATTTTGATTCAGTATTATGACCTGAAGGCCTCAGCATTTATCTGGACTGGAAATGATTCGAGATTTGTGTGATGGACAGCTGGAGGGGGCAGAAATTGGCTCAACAGAAATAACCTTTACACCAGAGAAGATTAAAGGTGGAACTCACACAGCAGATACCAAGACAGCAGGGTATGTATCACGCTTTGTTTAAGTGGTCACTACACTTGGGCCCGGGTTTGTGTCCAGATTCTGCCACTTGCCTCTGTCTCATTTTTTATTGTTTAAAATGGAGATAAAATGTCTACCTTGCTGAGGGGAGCTCTGGTGGCCTAGTGGCAAGAAGCTGTACTGCAATCCCAAAGGTACATGGTTCGAATCCACCAGATGCTCTGCTGGAGAAGGAGGGACCATTTCCTCCTGTACCAGTCCGATCTGATTTGACGGTACATATACAAAAAATAACAAAAAACAAAAAAAAATTAAAAAAAAAAAGCCTACCTTGCCGGAGAATAGTGTATATGAAATTTTGGAGACCAAAGGGCTCGTTAAGTACAGCATCTGGAATTTTTTTTTCTTCCCCTATTTGTAGGGTGCATGTTGATTTCTTAAATTTTTTATTTTATTTTATTAGAGAGTATATGTGTGTGTGTGTGTGTGTGTGTGTGTGTGTGTGTGTATACACACACCATCAAATCAGATCTGACTGGTACAGGAGGAGATTGCCCCTCCTTCTCTGGCAGAGCATCTGGTGGATTCAAACCGCATATCTCTGGGATTGCATTGCAGCTTCTTGCCACTAGGCCACCAGAGCTCCCCTTGATTTCTTAAATATTTTTATATTAGAAAATTGACTGTCAAACTTTTCATACTCTAATTATAGCAACTTTTATATAGTAGCACATTTAGTTCTTTGCTTATAATAAATTATGAACCATATTCTACTGTTGCTATTAAATAATGTAGAGTCGAGTACAACTCCTAGCGACCCTATAAACAGAAGATCTAAACCTTGTCCTATCCTGTGCCATCCGTATCATCTCTGATATATTTGATCCCACTGTAGCTGTCACTATATCAATCTGTCTTGTTGAGGGACTTCTTTCCTTCACTGACCTTTTCAAACATGATGTCCTTTTCCAAGGAATAGCCTCTCTTAACAACATGCCCAAAGTTTATGAGACGAAGTTTCACTATATTTATCTCTAAGGAGCACTCTGGCTGCACTTTTCCCAAGACATGTTTGTTATTCTCGAAGTTCATGGAACAGTCAGCACTCTTCACAAACACTACAACTTGTTTTTGCTGTCTTTTAATAGGTATTTTTTAGGTAAGAAGTAGCTTTGCCAACCCAAAGACAAACAGTTCAAACCTACCAGCTACTCTGTGGGAGAAAGAAGAGCAGTCTCTTCCTGTATTATTTGCAGCGTCTGAAAACCCTTTTGAGAGTCAGCTGTGAATTAGTTCCAACACAGCAGCAGTGAGGTTTAGGCAACCCTAAGGACCCTTGGTAATGCAATACAGTTAAGCGCGTACTGTTAACCAAAAGATCTACAGTTAGAACTCACCAGCCGATTCTTCATTAAAAGATATGGCAATTTGCTCATGTAAAGATTTGCAGTCTTGGAAACAATTCTACTTCATCTGGTAGGTGTGCTATTAGTTTATATTCAGGCTGATCTGCTAAAAGATGGTTTTACAGTTTATGTGGCCCTATTTAGACATTTATGCATATGATAATTTTTTTCTCCTTAGGAATTGATACCTAATAGTTAAACTAGATGTACATTATTCTTTTATTGACAGTTGGATTTTTTTTTACAATTAATTGTGACTTTTTTCTTTTTAAATTATTTTTTTGTAGGTGTACCGTCAAATTGGATCTGACTGGTACAGAAGGAAATTCCCCCTCCTTCTCCAGCAGATCATCTGGTGGCTTTGAACCTAATACCACTGGGATTGCAGTGCAGCTTCTTGCCACTAGGCCATCAGAGCTATCTTAATTGTGACTTTTAACTGATAGCATCTTTGTACAAAATTCTATCCATTAATTAGAAATTTGATGAACTAAGAAATAAGAAATGATGCTTTCAGCTTTGTACCAGTTTCTGAAAGGACTCTTTTAAATCGATTAGAATTTTTTAATTTAAGAAAATGTTGGGTGATAACTGAGATTTGAATTGTGCTATAAATACACCTTTATGAAATGGAACCTGCTGCTAGGCAAGGGGAGAACTTTCCTGCAGGGATTAAAAGATTTTGCTGTATCTTTATAGTAATGGTATTATTTAGACTACTCTGTACAGAAAGGAGAAAAGTTAGAGATAACAAACTGTCTAGGAATTAATTACAGCATAAAATTAGAATTTTTAGAGCTGCAAAAGGAAAACTACCAAGTCCACTGTCAATGAGGCTGTCCTGAAAAATAGTGAACCTCCATCATGTATCTGAATCTGTAAATCTTAACAGGAGCAGACAACCTCATCTTTCTCTGTCAGAGCAACTCATATATTAAAACCTTTTAGTTAGCGGGTGAACACATAACCCACTATTCCACCAGGGGTCCTTAAAATAAAAAGCAAATATACAAACTCATGGCTATTGGGAGGGAGCCAACTCATTACTGACCCTGTGCTGTATTTCCAAAGCTGTAAGTAGAGCAGAGCTGTAAGATGGAGCAGATGACCCATCTTTCCTTTGTAGGGCCCTGGTGGATTCGGTCCACAAGGCAGGTGCAGCCTTTGGGTCAACAGCACAGCCCTCTGTGGATTACTCCATCAGCGCTCCAAGAAGAGGGGAAGTAGAAACCATATAATCCACAATTACTTACGCTTTATAACAAGGAGATCAAGTCCTTGTAGAGTTGAGTAGTTTACCTAGTCATAACTCAGAATCGTAATTAGAGTCTAGGTTAATTGACTATGTTTCCAGTAAAGCTTGCAGGAAATTAAGGTTGAGAATCCAACTCTGTTTAGGAAATTAAAATTAGAATCTTCACAAATAAATAAACCTTTTTTATTCCGTTCTACTAGCATTACCTCTCTTTGTTCTTGTACCGTATATTTCTTCAGAGGACTTTCTGTTACCTTTGCAATTGTTTTGTTCTTATTGTTAGTTGTTAGGTGTCATGGAGTCAAGTATGACCCATAGTGATCCTGTGAACGATAGATCTGAACCCTGTCCTCTCCTGTACCATCCTCACGATCTCTGAAATACTCAAACACACGGCTGTAGTCACTGTGTCAATTCATCTGGTTGAGGGTCTTCCTCTCTTTGGTTAACCTTCCACCTTTCTATGCATGATTCCCGCTTCAGGGAATAACTTCTATCAACATGCCCAAAGTATGTGAGATGAAACTATCACCTTTGCCTCCAAGGAACACTCTGACTGCATCTTCTCTAAGACAAATCTGTTTGTTCTTTTGGCAGTCCAAGGGATTTTCAGTAATCACCAAAAGCAAAGCTCAAAGGCATCAATTCTTCTGCTATCCTTATTCATTGTCCAGCTTTCAGATACATAGCAGCAAGTGATTGAAAAGAACATGACTGAATCAGGCTTACCTCTGTACTCTAACATCCTTGTTATTCAGTAATTTGAGGTCTCTTGACTGCAGCCCTAAAATTAAGATTTTCCTTACTGTTCCTAAAATCTAACTGTATTGGAAGGAAAAGCCTGTAAATCAATGCTGTAGGGTTATATAAAAGAAACCTTTAAACATTAAATTCCTAGAAAGGCATAAACAAACAATGACAAGTACAGTAGTTGAAACCAGTGGTTTATAGTGAATTAGACATTTCCAAGTCTTTCTTTCATTTGCTACTACCCTGAATTCCTTGAGAACAGGTATTGTATTCTGTTAGCTTGGGGTTGGTTTGTTTTGGTTTTTTTTTTTACCATGTCTAACACATTGCATTCAGTAAATATTTACTGAATTAATGAAGTCCTTTACCGGTGAGACTTTTTCCTTTAGTAATATGCATCATTGTTATAGAAAGGCACATATGCATCATTGTCATAAAATATGTGTAGAGACTTGTATCAAACTCTTCTAAATGTCAGTCTGTAAGTATGATTATTTTCTCTTGATTTTGAAGAAAGGGAGGTAACAACATACTAATCTGATTAGATATTCTCATTTTAAAAAAAAATATATTCTTAACCCTTTCTAGTGATACTCCTCATTGTTTGATTATAAGGCTCAAACAGGCTAACAAAGCAAATCTTTTTCCTATTTAATGTTTAGATATCAGTTCTTAAAAGTCTTATTTAAAATGTTGTTTTATAGTTGCTTCTATGATGATGAGAACTACATCTTATTTGATATCTAAAACAAGGTACTTAGATATCATCGGTTGGATATTTCAGGACTTTGATGATTTTAAATATATTTTATAAACTGCTATTTTCAAGGATCCTTTAGTAAAAACATTGTGAAAGGGTATGATTTTTATGTTTAAAAGTAATTTCTTTCACATTTTTTAGTAATGCAAAGAAAAGAACCTAACCAAAGTCATGCAGCTAAGAAATGTTTAGCCTAAGACTCAAACCCCAGCTGGCCTATCACATAAAGGTAGTTCTGTATACCGTGCATTTCTGTAAGGTGCAAGGTATTTTTAAGCTCAAAGGTATGGACCTACCTTTTTATCTAGATTTCAGCTGATAGTAATATATAGCTTTAAAAAAAATTCAACCTTTTAAAAAAAATATGCTCGACCCTCTCTGCCTTCTCTTTAGGAGTATATGCCTCTTGATGCAGGTCTCAATGCCCTGTGTTCTCTTTGCTGCCTCTCCATCAGAACTGCGTTTGAAAGGTGGGACCAATGCAGAAATGGCTCCACAGATTGATTACACAGTGATGGTAAGGGCTTTTTTGCTTGGTTCACCAAGATTATCTCACATAGTCTTTTTGCATTCCCATTCTTTATTTAAATATATTCTGTTAATTTTTGTGTGCTTTCCTGTTTATTTCTTTATAGTGTCCATTTTTTTTGCTACAGCAGAGGGTGGAGACTTATGTTTATTTAGGTTTCTGTTTTATCTTAGAACAATGTTAAAAAATCTCAATTGTAGTTATTATGTAAATTGGAATTAGAATTAATAGAGGAGAAAAAAGTCAAAACATGTTTTGTCTGTAAACTTAAGACAGTAAAATCCAGTACTAGTTTGCTAACCCATAAGTAATAGGAGGAGGACAGAAATACAATGTTTTTTTCCTATATGTTTATTGAGGTTTAATTAGTTATGGTAAGATTTGTTCTGTCACTTCTATGAGTTTTAATAAACATGTGCATTCTTGAAATCATCACCCATTCATTTCATCACATGAAATTTCATTACTTAAAAAAATTCCCTCATACTCCTTTGTAGTCAACCCTACCCCATCCCCTAGCAACCATTGATCTGTTTCAGTTATAGTTCTACCTTTTATCTCTCTTTGGGTGTCATGTGTAATATAGTATGTTGTTGCAAGTAACAAAAGTTCATTCCTTTTTTATTGCTAGATCGTATTCTACTGTATGTATGCACTAATTTGTTTATCTGTTCATTTGTTGAAGTACATTTAGGTTGCTTTGAATTTAGGGTATAGGTTTTTAGCTTATGAGCTATCGAAGCGAGCACTAGGGTGTAGGTTTTTGTGTGGCTGTAATTATTAAACTAATTAGTTTAAGAGGATGTATAAAGAGACTTAATGTCTCATTTTCTCTAGTAATTCCACTAAAACAAAATACAGCAAAGTTAAATATCACAAGTATTTAAAAAGACCATTCTTTGTATATGTAATAATGAAAACTTAGGCAGTGGTTAAGTAAATGATGATAGACTATCATGTATTCAGGTATTGCATAGGAAGAATTTTATGATGTTGGGAAAATGCTATGTTTAGAGTGTTAAACGGAAAACAGAACAGTATATATATGCAGTAAAATTTCAAATATTTAAATAAATTGAGAAAGCAGGAATACTTTTCACAAAAATGCTTAAATTTCTTTCACTGTTATATTGAAAAGAGTAGAAAATACTAGGTTCTGGAATAAAATAATTACAGTGATCAAATACCAAATAGCATGAGTCTGGAGGTATAAATTTGGTGTATGTGTGTGTATGCATGTATAGCCCTGATTAATTAAATGTTGTAGTTTTAATTTTAGTTACATATAAGTTATTTCATTTGAAAAGTAGAATTTGCCTAGGTATTTTTTAATATTATTATTTATCTGCAGTGCTTAATGCCTAGCTTCATGAAGAGTACTTTTGTTTAATAAATGACTTTATTATGCATTTACTTATTATTGACTATTGGTGATGAAAAGTACTATAAACTGATTTTCCAGGTTTTCAAGCCAATTGCTGAAAAATTTGGTTTCAAATTTAATTGTGACATTAAAATGAGGTAAGTTGCTTGTTAGCCTTTTTATTGAAAGTAAAAAAAGTTTAGACTTTAGGAAACTCACAGATATATACATATATGGTAGGAAATAATTATATTTAGTGCATTAAAAATAATAATCAGCAGGGGCATGGGGACTCAAAAGCAGCTGGACGTGTTATTCATTTGTTTCTTGGGGAAAATGTTTTTCAAGGGAATTTCCACACTGAGGCTCCTTTGTATCTGGTATAATGGGCACTCCAGCACCAATGAATGCTCATTGTGTGTCCATAACTGGATGAGGCTTTGTGGGGTCATAAAAGGGAAGAAATTTGCCTTTCTCCCACAGCACTATTTATCTCATTTTTTTCCCTAAGAAACATGTTGGACATACAGGTTATTTCTCTTTAAGCTACCTTTTTACCACATGATGACAAAGCCATATTTCATGGCATACCGTTTAAACTTTGCAGTTTTAGATTTTGGCTTTTTTTCTTTTCTCTTGTCCTTTGAACAATATATTCTAATAACTTGATTAAAATGAAAATTCTCACTGCCATTGAATTGGAAGCTTCTCAGAGCTGACTCTCTAGTGGGTGTCAGAAATTGCAAATTGGAAGGAGATTGCCCATTCTTCTCTTGCAGAACTGCTGGTAGATTCGAACTACCAGAGAGGTGTAGCCTTTGGGCTAGCAGTACAGCTCCTAAGTCTGCTACTAGAACTCTAAGAGCATGATTGTTACTTAAACCTGCTTTATGCTTCTTTCTTTGCTCATATTATTTCTTGCTGTTTTCTCTAAAAAATTGTAAATCCTACTCTTACTTTTTTAAAAGATTGAACTGTTAAAAAAAAGAGACTCATTCCTTGTGTGAACTGTCCAGGCACATGCTTCAGTCGGAATTTGTGCTTTACTTATAGTCCTTGCAGCATAATTTGTTTTTTAAGAGATCGTGTGTGACATCATCTCCTTAGTAGATAATGAGCTCGTTGGGTGTAGGAGCACTGTCAAACTTATCCTTTGTTCCAAACATATTCTTTTGAATAAATGCCACTGAATGTTTCAGTTGACATTTTATTTGTGTTCAGTTTCTTAAATGTTTACTGAACACCTACTCTGTATCAGGCATTGATTTTAGGCCCTGAGACTATATCAGGGAACAAAATATGCAACGTTCCTGCCTTTGTGGAATGTGTATCATAATAGCACTGTTGAATAGAAGTGTTGAGGTGAAATCATGTTCTGTATTTGCACTCTGCAGTACTGGTAGTCAGTCACAAGCTACATGTGACTTTTAGCTCTTAATATGTGGTTTGTGCAGTTTAAAGTTGACTTTAGTGTTTGCTTAAAGAGTCCTGTAAAGCTACTATATTGGACAGCATATATTTGAATATCATTCATGTTATTTTTTTTTAGTACATACTGGACTTTCTTTTTGTCATGCAATCAGTTTATTTGATGATTTGCCATATTTTTCCATAGGGGCTACTATCCAAAAGGGGGTGGTGAAGTGATTGTTCAGATGTCACCAGTTAAAAAGTTGAACCCAATAGACTTAACTGACCGTGGCTCTGTGACTAAGATATATGGAAGATCTTTTGTTGCTGGTGTTTTACCACTTAAAGTAAGTTGTCTAGGTGTTCTCAGATGTGTTTATATGTCTTGATAAGCATGATCATTGTATTTTGAAACTCTTGAAACAATTTACTCTTCTATAAAGTTTTCTTAAAAATCAGTGCTCTTGAAACCCAACTCTTTGTTGAATTATATAAATATTTTTCTGAAATTCAAGGGTTTAAATAATTCATGTATATCAATATTGTTTTATGCATTTGTGAAAATAATCAGTTCCCAATTTATTTTACTCTCTTTTCCATCTTGCCAAAATAGGTAGCAAAAGATATGGCGGCAGCAGCCGTGAGGTGCATCCGAAAGGAGATCAGGGACCTGTACGTTAACATCCAGGCGGTGCAGGAAACGAAGGACCAAGCCTTTGGCAATGGAAGTGGAATAATGTAAGAAGATACACTAACTTTCTCTGGGGAACTAGTTGAGAACTCTGCAGTAATCTATTTAAATTAAAAGATTCTTTGCTGACTTTTTTATCTGTTTTAAAGAGTTATAGTTTTATGAAGCATGGGACATTTCCCCCTCAACAATATGATGACTTAAATGACCATTTTATTCTTAATTTTTTTCCAGAGGATATTTTGTCTAATAGTGCATTTATTCTCCTTTATTGCCATGAAGCCAGAACTGCCTCATAACGGACCCTCTTGTATGTTTTTGGAGGCTGTAAAGTCTACGGGAGAAGTTTGCCCATCTTTGTACCCTAGCACTGCTGGGGGGATTCGAACCAGCTGAGAGATGCCGCCTTTGAATTAGCAGAGCAGCTCCTATGGACTATACTCAGAGCTCCCTAACGCATTGTTAGGATCTGGGTTTTTTTAATAATAAACTTAAATATTTTGACTAATCAGAAGTTGTTTGTCTTTGAAGCTGATCCTGGAAGAACTATATTCAGGAGCTTCTATGTATCTCAAAGTTAAAGAAATATTAAATATGACAAGGACCCATCTAGAAAAGAAAATAAATTTACTGGGATTCATGTTACAGAAATTACTACTATATTGATGTTTTGAAATACAAAAGTTTCCTTTATAACTATTTAAATTTTAAAGTTGCCTGTTGAACAATGTCTTCCTGTAAGGATTTATAGCCTCAGAAATCTGATACAGGGTCACTGTAAGTTGAATATGAACCAATAGTAGTGAGTTTGGTTTTTGATATTTTTAAGAACTTAGAGCAAAAGCGTGCTTGATATATGACATTATCTAAAAACTAAACCAGAAATCTCTCTGTAAAGACCTTTTTATTCAACATCTGTTTAGTACTGACTATAGTGACTGGGGCAATGGGATTAGGTGTGTCAGAATTGGTGAGACAGACACAGGACAGGGCAGGCTTCAGAGCTGCTGTACATAGGGGTGGCAGATGATTCAATGGCACATAACAACAACAGCAGCTGGTGAAACGATACTCCTTAGTGCTGGTGGGTGTATTACAGCTACAGGGGCTTTTCTTACCTGTGCATGGTTTATGATCTTGTGTGACTTCTCCCTGTCAGAAGTGCCAAAGGATTCTAATGCCATCCATGATTAAGACTGAAGGAGAATGTTACTCATAGGCTCCTTTGTATAAAAAATTTATTTTTGCTGCATGATCTCTCCCTCACTCATTGCTGTCGAGTCAGAACCAACTTGTAGTTGACCCTTTAGCAGGATTTCAAATGCTGTAAAACACATGGGAGGAAGAGATTGCCCATCTTTCTTCTGAGGAGCAGCTGATGGATTTGAACCACTCAACTTTGAGTTGGCAGCTCAATTCCATATGCAGTAGGCTCTCAGAGCTCAGTGCATGCTTCTTTTTGTTGTTAATGTGCCATTGAGTTGACTGTGTCTCATAGCTACTCATGAGCAACAGACCTTTACCCTGTCTTATGGCCTCTTCAATTTACTTGAGCCCATTGTTAAAGACTCTGTAACAAAATGTGTCAGTTCATCTTGTTGAAGGTCATCCTCTCTTTCGCTGACCTACCTTTCCAAACATGATGACTTGAACCCTCCTAACAATATACCAAGCTATGTGAGGAGAAATTTCACCATCCTTGCCTCCAAGGAACACCCTGGTCTCACTTTCCCCAAGACAGACTTGTTTGTTCATTTGTCAGTCCTTGGGACATTCAGTATTCTTATCCATAACTCAATGATTCTTCCTCTGTAATCCTTCGTCATTGTCCAGTTTTCAGATGCATAGCAAGTAATCAAGACCATGGCTTGGATAAGACGCATCTTTTTCTTTTGCTCATTAGCACTTTAGGGAGGTCCCTGATGGCAAATTTTCCCAATGTGTTATGTCTTTTGATTTCTTGACTGCTGGTACCAAGGGCGTTGATTGTGGGGTCCAAGTAGACTGAAATTGTTGACAGTTTTAGTCTTCTCCCTGTGATGTTGCTTATTGATCCAACAGAGAGGACTTTTATTTTCTTGATGTTGAGATGCAATCCATATTGAAGGCTTGAGTGCTAGACCTTCTGCAGCAAATGCCTCATGTCTTCCTTGCTTTTTTAGTATGCAAGGTTGTGTCATTTGCTTAACACAAGTTGCAGACAAGTCTTCCTCCAATCTTGATGCCACATTCTTCTTCATAAAGTCTCACTACTTGCATACAAACCACATCTAATTCTACATATTTAATAATTCCTGGTGGTGTAGCATATACATGTTGGCTGTTAACCCAAAAGTTGGTGTCATTATTTCACCAGACCCTCCTCAGTAAAAAGATTATCAGTCTCCTTCCATAAAGATAGACAGCTTGTGAAACTCAAAGGATTGCTGTGAATTGTAATCAACTTGAGGGGAGTAGCTTTTGGTATTCTGTTTGAAAGAACCCTCGTAGCACAGAGGTTAAGTACTCTGATTTTACTCAGAAGGATGGGAATTTGAAGCTTCCATCTTCTGTGGCAGAAAGATGTGTCAGTCTGTTGCCATAAAGATTACAACCTTAGAAACCTTATGGGGCAGTTATCCTTTGTCCTACAAGATCGTAAGAGGTCAGATTGACTCAGTGATGATAAATTTGTTTTTATTGTCTTGTGTCCTGTTTGCCTTGACATTTTAGAATATATTGATAACACAGGAAGTAATACTTTTTTGTTTCTTCATACAGTATTGTTGCTGAGACATCTACTGGATGTTTATTTGCTGGATCATCGCTTGGTAAACGAGGTATAGATAAATGATGGGGATCTCTATTTGTAAATGCTACTTTACAGCTTTAATTACCTGACAGATTAGAATTTTGTAGAATGATAGCAAGTTAAAAGGATACAGTAAGGAACAGTTAAACTTTCAATCATTATGTCAGTTTTATACTTTGAAAAAAATTGAATCTATAGAAAAGTTGAAAGAATATTACAATTAATATCTTTATGCCCACTTTTTAGAGTCAATGTAGTGAGCATCTAAATATGTTTCTGTTTCTGAAACATTTCAATATAAATTACTTGCCTGGCTCCTAAAAATACTAGAGCATATATTTTCATAGAAATATACCTATGTAACCACAATACTCTGTATCTATACAAAGTATTTATCAGTTACATTTAGACATAAGAGACATCTGACATAGCATGCTGTCTACAAAATACTCTCTAGAGCTGTGTCTGTGTGTGTAATTGTGACTCATGGCAATCCTGAATGCCACAAATGGAGTACTGCCCAAAACCATGCCATCCTCACAATCATTGCCATAGTTGAGCCCATTGTTACAACCAGTGTATTATTCTATCTCAATGACAGTTGTCTTTTTTTGGTCTCTAATAAAATTGGGAAAGTCTGCAGCCAGAGACCTCTCCAGAGTCCTGAAGAGCAAAGATGTCACTCTGGAGACTAAGGTGCACCTAACACAGGCCATGGTCTTTGCAATCACTTGCTATGCGTCAGAGAGCTGGACAATGACTAGGGAGGATAGAAGAATTGATGCCTCTGAGCTGTAATGTTGGAGAAGAGTATTTAATATACCATGGACTACTAAGAAAATGAACAGGTTTGTTCTGGAGAGGGTGAAGCCAGGCTGCTTCTTGGAGGCAAGGATTCTGAAGCTTCGTCTGACATACTTTGGACATGTTACAAGGAGGGACCATTCCTTGGAGAGAGATGTCATGCTTTGGAGGCTGGAGGGACAGTGCAGGAGGGGAAGACCCTCAATGAATGAATTGATTCAGTGGAGTAATAGGTGTGGGTGTGTTGGAGACAGTGAGATTGACACAGGATAGAGCAGGGTTTACGGCTGTTGTACATAGGGTCGCTATGAGTCGCAGGCGACTCAATGGCACATAACAACAACAGCCTCTCCTTAGTATGTGAGATAAAGTGTCATGTCCTTGCCTCTAAGAACCATGTTGGTTGCCCTTTCTCCAGGACATATTTGTTTGATCTTTTGGCAATACATGGTATATTCAATACTCTTTAAAGGCTATATATAGTCTTTTATGTTTATCAGTAAGTGTTTCAAACCCTCTATAATTGTTGTAACAAAATTGTACATTCTGTTTGGAATTTTTTTGAATGGACTTAAATATGAATCTTCAAGTTGGTTGGCTGGGGAGTTATTCTCTATACATTTCTTTACAGAGACAAGTGAACATTTCCAATAGTGCATCTCTTGAAACACCTCTGTTTGTCTCATCTATTCCTGAATCCTTGTTTTTCTCCGGGGTAGTCAGTGCAGCTTGAACTGCCTCTTTCAGTACCATGAGTTCTTCATCATAAGCTCCTATATGAGAGGTTATGATGACCAAAATGGTTATGGATTTTTTTGGTACAGTGATTGTGTATTCTTTCCATTTTCTTTTGTTGTTTTTTACATGTTCAGTATTTTGCCAATTAAATCTTTCAGTTTTTGAACTTAAGGCTTAAATTTTTTTCTTCAGTTCTTCAAGCTTGAGAAATACTGAATTTGTTCTATTTTTCTGATATTTCACATTGTTTTTAAATTGTGGTTTTAACAAAAGTTTACAGAAAGGTGGATTGTTCATTCATTCTTTGTTGCACATTTTCCTCCCTACCCCTCGCAGTCTACTTTTCAGTGCACCCCTTGTTACAGATTATTATATGTATAATGCCTAATCATATATTCGTTTCAGACAGTTTCTCCCTTCATCTACTCTAATACAGTGTTCATTATCTATCCGCTTTTCTCTTTTCCTATTCTCACCCCAACTCCCGTCAGTTCTGTTTTATAACAGCAGTGCTATGCAGTATTTATCCTTTTGTGACAGAGATATTTCACTCAACAGAATGTCTTCCAGGCTCATCCATGTTGTATAATATTACAGAAGTTCACTGTTTTTCAATGCTGTGTGATATTCCATTGTTTGAATGTACCATAGTTTTTCTATACATTCATTTGTTGATGAGCACTTGGACTGCTTCCATCTCTTTGCTATTGTGATAAAGCTGGCCCTCCAGTGGGTTTCCATGGCTGTAAACTGCGTAGAAGAAAATCACCCATTTTTCTTCTGGCTGCTGGTGAATTTGAACAACCAGAGCGGTGCAATCTGTGGGTTAGCAGCACAATTCCCTACAGACTAACTTGTATATGCTGTTAAAAAATGACATGTTATTGGCATGCACAGTTCCATCATGTAATCCTTGCATTGTTTCTGTCACCAAGGCTTTATTTTCCAGCTGCCCTTTCCTTCTGTTTTTCAGTTTTCCATTCCAATCACTGTTAATTATTACTGTTAATATCTTGATACAGTGTTTGATCAATTTCAAGTTGCTAAAAATCTTCAGTTTCTTCATTGACACTGGGGATTGGTATGTACTTTTGAATAATAGTCATAGAGCTTGGGGTTTTTTTGTTAGGCAGATAGATAGTATCCTATCACTAAGTAAGAACAACTCTACAACAGGGGGTTTAGTTTTCATTTTGGAAAATGTTATACTTGCGATCTTGAATTTTCTTTTTAACAATGAATGTGGCACCATACCTCTTTAATTTTACATTCCTGGTGTAGTAAACCATGAGATTTTTCTTATTGGAAATTGTCATTGCAGCCCATTTCATCTCTAATGCCTAGTGGGTAGGCCTTTTTTATATAAAAGTTGGTTATGGGAAAGATCATGTGTGGAAAAAAAAGGTCAGTTGAGTAGTGCCTAAGTGTAGTTTGTAGCAGTTGGATTCTGAAGGATAGGTTGTTTTGATTTAATTGAAAGTTGGGTGTAAGCGGTTTGGGTGTTTTTTATTTTGTTAATTGTGTTTGGGGAGGATATTGTTCTAGGTGGTACAGCACTTGTCTGTCTGTTTGCTGTACTGAAAAACCTTGGGGTTATTGTGAAACTGAAAGCTGTGCCACTGGTGTGTCAAATACCACAAGGGTTACCTATAGTGGGCAGGTTTCGGTGGAGCTCCTTGATTAAGACAGACTAGGAAGCAGGATTGGCCATCTACTTCCTAAATAACAGGCTTTTGAAAACCCTATGAACACTAAATGAATGAGGATAGTTATAATAGTGTAGTCATAGAGCCCAGATTTGAAATAAGTTGAAATGAAGAAAAATAATAAACATTGTTTAATAATTGGAACATGGAGTATACATAGCTTGAATGTTGGAAAACTGGAAATTGTTAAAAATGAAATGAAACACATGAGTATTGGCATACAAGACTTTAGTGAGCTACGATGGACCAGCTTTGGCCACTTTGAATCAGATAATCACATGGTATACTGTGCAGGGAATGAAAAACAGAAGAAGAATGGTGTTGCATTCATAGTAAAAAGGTCAATTTCAAGTTCTATCCTAAAATACAGTGTTGTGAGTGATAAAATAATAGCCATACACATACAAGGAAGACCCTTTAACAAGACTTATTAAAATATACACTCCTATATATCTGGACCCAAAGAGGAAGAAATTAAGAATTTTTACCAAATCTTGCAGTCAGAAATTGACCAAACATACAATCAAAATGTGTTAATGATAATTGGTGACTGGAATGCAAAAGTGAGCAACAGTGAAGAAGGAATCGTTGTTGTTAAGTGCTGTCAAGTCTCAGGAGACTCATAGCGACCCTATGAAGGAGAGTCCTCAACGCTTGTGTGTCTCTCATCCTCTCTCCAGGTTCATAGGGTTTCCAGAGGCAAGCTATTACTATTATTATTTGAAGCTTGTTTTAATTGGGGTGTTTCACTCAACACTGTCCACCATGGGTTACCAACCATTAACGCATTTGACACACCATTGTCACAGTGTTCAGCCTCACAGCAACCACAAGTTACCACTGTATGGTCAGTGGACACACCAGGGCTATACGACCTAGAGAAATGTTCGAACAAAAACAATGAAAGACAGGCCCGAGGTCTGTGGATTAAAAGTCACCCACCTTGGTTGCATCGCTTTCGTCCACTGGGCCAGTTGATCACTCTGTATGTTAATGTTATTGGAAGAAGGAATAGTAGTTGAAAGATAGGGCTTGGTGATAAAAATGAGCCTGAAAATAGAATGATTGCATTTTGTATTTATAATAATTTATTCATTGTAAATGACACAAATTTGACAACTTTACACACCTGATAGGCTGCTTAGGAATCAGATTGACCATATTTGTGAAAGAAATTATTGGAGAAATTCAGTATTGGCAGTCAAAACTAGGTCAGGGGTGGACTGTGGGTCAGATAGATCATCGATTACTTATACGCAAGTTCAAACTGAGGCTGAAGAAAATGAAAATTAGTCCACAGAAACCAAGGTATGATCTTCAGTTAATTCCATCTGAATTT